GTGGTGGCGGCAGGTTCCTTTGATGAGCACGGTCAGTTCCGGGCGGCCACTCGGAATATGGCTGCAAAAGGTGGCGGTCAATCGTTGTCACCTCAGCAGCAGCAGCAGGGACAAGGTGCACCCAACATCATGGATAGGTTGGTATTTCTGTAGTTTGATCGTTGGAGTTTGATTTGATTTGTGTAGTTTGGTGTTTGGTGTTTGACCGTTGTATAGGTTCAGGTCAAATGTGATGACGTCATTGACGTCGACACCACCCCCGCAAATTCCCACGCAAGTGCAGCAGGTGATGACGAATCCGTGGACTACAACGAGCACATCACTGAGCGATCAAACTACAGACCAACAGCATCAAACTACAACTGCGGATCCGATCCTTGCCGAACGATTAGCGCAGGTTTTTAGCTGTTATTTATTGCTCTTGATATTCATTATTTTAATATTTATTATTATTATTTATTATTGTTATTTTGACGTATATTTATTATTATTTATTATCATTGTTTTATTTATTATTATTTATTATTATTGTTGTTATTATTTTTATTGTTGTTTTAGATGCGGGTAGGGCGATTACAACATTCGATGTCGCAACCAGCTGGTGTGGCTCCTATGGGTGAATTTTTAATTATTATTATTGTTTAATTATTATTTATTATATTTATTATTGCTTTATTTATTATTATATTTATTATTATTATTATTATTATTATGATTATGATTATTATTATTGTTATTATTATTGTATTTATTCAGGTATGTCGGAACAGCAGGTGTTATCAGACGATTGGTATTATATCGATCCGAAAAACGATACTCAAGGGCCTTTCCAGTCTGCTCTTATGGAGGTTTGTTATTATTTATTGTTATTGTTTTAAATATTATTGTTATTATTTATTATTATTTATTATTGTTATTTATTATTATTTATTATTATTGTTATTAATTGAGGCTTGGTTCAATTCGGGCTATTTCACGAGTGATCTGAGGATCCGACGTGGCACCGATCCAAATTCCGGATTCATAACGTTGGGTGATTTGCTGCGTATAAACGGATCGATATCACCGTTCAAGCGGAGTCCGCCAAATAGCGCTGCAATAGGTGGTGGTGCTGGGCCGCAGCTTCATATCGCGGCACCGCCTCCGCAGGGTCTTGCCACGAACCAGGTTGGAGCGACTACGGTATCAATGCCGATGACACAAGCCAGCGCCTTACAACAGCAACAACAACAACAACAGCAGCAGCAGCATGCAATGCAGGCGAGCCAGCAGATGGGGTGGGTTTAGTGTTATTTATTATTATTATTTATTATTATTTATTTTTTATTGTTATTATTTATTATTATATATTGTTATTATTTATTATTATT